ACATTAATTACTGTAGTGCTTCGAGGGGTGTAGAGAAATGAACCAGTTGTAAACTATATACAACACCAGAAAAAACAACCACAGACATCTTGGGTCACTGAAAGAAATTGTTCTACAAAGCTGATTAACAAATAACACAACAAGATAATTATATCTGGCAGTTATTTAAGAGAAATGCCCTAATAATTTCATGACACTGTACGATTGTATTAAAACTTCTTCTAATCGTCATCATGAAGCTGAAGACAAGTTCAACAATCGAGACCGTAATGCATAGATATCCTAAACATGTCAAAGGTTTCCATCTTTTGGATGCACTGTTCACTCAAAAGAAGGATCGAGTGTCTCTTTTGAAACTATTATTGTAAACAGATTGGGGTTCTAGCGAGTTTTTACTTCCAAATATTGTCAAGCAAAGTCCAAAACTTGGATAATAACACCTACTTGGTGAGAGTTGGGAATATGGACTAGCTTTTATAACATTTCAATAAATGAACAACCATAATCGAATATAATACTCAAGTTTTAAAAGAAAGTACTTGACAGCTAAGTTATCAACTTCTCCAGACATCAATCAACGACTCTGACAAGGACATGACAGTTAAGTTACCAATTTCTCCAGACACCAATAATCGACTCTGACAAGGACATGACAGTTAAGTTACCAACTTCTTAGACATCAATCAACGACCCCGAGAAGCACTAGACAGCTAAGTTGACATTGGTTCTCCAAGTACCAATCATCTACCCCGAGAAGGATTTGACAGATAAAAGACCTGCTTCTCCAAACACCAATCATCGACTCTGACAAGGACATGACAGTTAAGTTACCAATTTCTCCAGACACCAATAATTGACTCTGACAAGGACATGACAGTTAAGTTACCTACTTCTCCAGACACCAATAATTGACTCTGACAAGGACATGACAGTTGAGTTACCAATTTCTTCAGACACCAATCAAGATTTAAAAAAAGGAATTTTTCTTTTCCTTTAAATTTAATTCCAACAGTGATTATATTCACGTTTTTAATTCATTTAACTTACCGCTGACCCACCGGGGGACTAAGAAATGAAATAAAAAATGCTTATATTACCTCATAAATGACGGTATAAAACTCAATCTCTCTACAGTGTCAGAAATCAAAGAACGTAATATTTCCTTTCTCTAGTTATCGGTGATTTTAGATGACTATAAAATCGAACTGTGCTCTTTGTTCACATTCTCGTTTTTATTTTACGTCTTCACCAAAAATATCGAGTTTTATATTTTAACCGAGTTCGACAATCATAGACATTTCAAAACACTATAATCTTTACAGTTTTACATTGTTTTTGGAATTTCGCGCAAAGCTACTCGAGCGCTACCTGCGCCAACAGTCTCTAATTTTGACGTGATAAGACTAGAGGGAAGGCAATTAGTCAATACCACCCACCGTCAACTCTTGGGCTAGTCTTTACTAATGAATAGTGGGATTGACCATCATATTATAAAGAACTCACGACTGAAAGTGCAAGCATGTTCGGTGAGGGGATACGATCCCCCAGATTGCAAGCCGAGTGCCCGTATCATGATTTAAGTTTTACAATTTTGATTAAATGATATCAGAATTTGAAAAAAAAAAAATCTGTTCTCTCTTTTTGGTAAATCTCCCGGCGGGTCAGCGGTATGTTTACGGACTTAAACGTACAACACTAAAATCCGAAGTTCGATTCCTCGCCGCGGACAGCGTGTAAATTTCCCATTGTGTGGCTTTGCACTGAAAAAAACTATTCGATAAAGCATCGGTTTATTTCGTAATATTTGTTTCGTTGTGTATTTAACGGTTTCATCATATTAATTTTCGCAAAAGTGATTTTTATTATGGATTTGAATGTCAACAAAGATCATAGTTAGAAAGTACATGGTAGGTGTGGGAGCCCATGTTGGTTAATCCGGTACTAGCGATACGTGAAACTCGTTAGAAAATTGAGAATTTTCAATAGTTTTTGTATACTTTTACCATATATTTATCTAATTATTAAGATAATGAATTTCATCTTAAAATCACCTGATCCGAGTTCTTTTCTAAAACAGCGAAGCAGATACAGTGTTAAGGCAACATACGCAACTGCGTAGGGCGCCAAATTATCGAAGCCTCCAGTGCGAATATCGTGCAGCCTTACCACCAGACCTGGAGTGACGTAATGAGGATAAAGTCAGGTTATTTGCTGTTCTACACGAATGACAACATTAGGTTTGAGCACGTTATATTAAGGTGATTTTGAATATGCAAATCAGCAAGTCACGTGACAGTCACTGCCAATATAAAGTCGCGGTGGAATGGCATGTATCAGAACTACATTTTGACATTGTTTGGCGTTACGTAGGAAGTATGATGCTATTGTAAGTTGATCGCTGATCAAAATGATGTGTTCAGATCAGGAATTTAAAATCTCCATGACGGAAATATCCTTGGTACATAATTAAAACTAGAAAACAAATACGGATCACCTTAGGAAACGAGGGTCATACAAAAAAAGACCTGCAACAAGTCAAGCCTCAGCCATGGTAAACAGTGTGAACACAAACGTTAATGGCGAAAGTCGTCCATGTGGTACAGGCAAACAGTACATAACATAATCAAGAATTCTCTCTCTTTCTGTAAAAGTGACACAAGTTGCTTCAACAACACATTTGTTCAACCGTCTCACACTTCAAGCAACTGGAGAATGAAATAGGTATTCATGATATTCCATTCGAAGACATACTGGTCAAGTCGCTGGATACTGCACCCAATAACTCGGACACTTATGGAAAGCATGCACGAAGGAGTGGTGTGCTTCAGACACGAGAGCCTTTTTTGTTGTTGCAATATTAGCTATAATGAAGATGCATGGTTATTAGATAGAGCACGACAGGATGTGGCAACGTGAACTATAACGATTTGGTTACTCCCATAATAATTTTAATATAACATATTTAACCAAAGTACTCAAAGTAGGAATATCTTACAAACTGGTTTCTATCGAGTATTTACTACGACAAACAGGTCCATATTAGAAGAGATAAAGGTAATACTAAGAAAAAATTTTTTTTTTTTTTGTTTGGTTTGAATGTTGAGCAAACCTACACGAGGGCTATCTGCACTAGCCATCCCTAATTTAGCAGTGTAAGACTAGAGGGTAGGCAGATAGTCAT